CCATGTTTCCGGGCCCGGTGGGGCATGGTTACCGTGGGTGAGAGCTCACGGGTTGGTTCTCCACATTGCCGTTGGTTGCACCTGTTTTTTACCCGCCTGTAATTATACATCCACCGTTGCTTTTCTCCACCATACTGAAAGCTCTGTGAGTACAGTAGATTTTGAACATTTTCATTGTTTGAAAGAAAACCTTTTAAAAATGTTTAATCTTACGATGCAATACCAGTTTTCACCAGCCAAATTAGCCAAGATTGTTTTACTATTTTTAAAATCTCAGTGCAGGCAAAGTTATAATGAGATAGTCTAATGAATGACTCTTAGAGATGTAAATTGATACAAGCTTTCTGAAAAGAAAATTTCAATACCTATTAAGTATTTTACATTTTTTCATGCCTTTAGTGATTAAAAGTGTATGCTCTGGAGTCAGTGTGGATATGGCGTGTGCGAGCAAATGGCCTCCCTTCTAAGTCTCAGTTTCCTCATCTTTCAAATGGGGTAATAACAATGCCTACTGCATCTTTCCAAATAAGATTATGTACTTATAATAATTAGTATAGTGTTTGATCTATATTCAGAGCTCAACAAATGTAAGCTATAATAATAATATGATTTGTAACCTTTTGACACTGTCTTTTAGGAAATACAATTGACTCTCGAACAACATGATTTTAGAACTGTACGAGTCCACTTATACACGCATTTTTTTCAATAACTTCTTAGTCAGCCCTCCTTGTCCCCAGGTTTTGCAGATTCAACCACTGCATATCAAAAATAGTATATTAGGTCCATGGTTGGGAATTTAAGGATTAGAGGGCCAACTATATACATTGTTCTATACCATTTTATATAAGGGACTTGAGCATCCTTAGATTTTGGTATCCTCAGGAGGTCCTGGACCCAATCCTCCACAGATACCAAGGGACGACTGTAATTATGTTTTATGGGAGTCAAAATTACATACAGATTTTTTATTGCACAGGGTGTCGGTACCTCTACCCCCGTGTGTTGTGCAAGGGTCAACTGTAATTTAAAATATACAAAGTTTTTATCATGGCTTTAATTATAAAAGTGGACAAATGCTTATTTATACTTTGTAAAAATATTCTTCATATTTTCTTTCATGGCTCACTTTGCAGTGAGAAAAATAAAACCCCAAGATCCGCGTTCGAGCCCCACTCAGCCCCTCTCCTGTGCAGAAAGTCACAGTGGCGCCCTGGGCTTGAGCCTGAAGCTTGCTGCTGCTGGTGCCCAGCGGGACTGGCCACTTGTAGCCTGTCATGCCTGAGTTCTGGAGTCTGCCCTCGGGAACTATACTTCTCTGATTATAAATCAGAGCACTGGTATTAATCCTCAAGCCCTTGTTGCTCTGAGTTTTGGCTTCTTTCCTTGCACATCATTACTCATTTTGAGCTCTCCCAAGGAACGCTCTCCTATAAAGTGATTTTAACTTCAAGCCTCTCAAGACAAAGGTGTTTCTTAGGTTTTAGGAATTTATTTTTCTTTTCTGATTGGTTTAATAAAAGTCAACTTTCAGATTGAGTTCGGAGCATATTTATTTAAGTGGTCTTCTGTTGGGGACTTGTGTATGATAGAGCTGGGACTGGAGGTTTGCATGAGTGTATTACCAGGGGACCCACACAGATTGTTGTTTTGGACGGAAGCTATTCATGGGATTGGGTGGTTAGCATGACTTTTTAAACCATGGATGGGTGAATAAGGAATGAATACAAGTAGTGAATGAAAAGAGAGTGTTCAGCTTTCCAGACTTGGGTAGTTACGTGCATGAGGTAGAACTATAAACTAACTTGGATTGATGTGATGCTTTGGGCAGCTTGTAGTTGATTGTTTTATATTTTCAGGTGCCATTTATTGATTTCTCCTTGCCTCTGGGCACTCACTCCATCATGTAGTGTGATATGTTTTAAGACTTAACATGAAACAACGGAGGGAAGCCAAGGCCTTGAGATTTAGGTGTCTCCACCACCCTCGAGCCCTTTCCACTGGCTTCTGGTAGCTGCACACAGCCGTGTCCAGTTGAAGACCTCCAGAGCATGAGACAGAGTTAGGTGGATAGAAGAAGGTGAGGTTGTGGGGAGGCTCTGCATTTCTCAGGCGGCCAGAGGCAGGGAACGAAGACCAGCCCAGAGGAGCCCCTGGGTAAAGCATGCTAACGGGACAGGGCTTAGGAGGAAGGTGGCCCAAGTGTCATGTGTTGCAGAGATTTTCATGTAGGTTAGGAATCAGAGGAGGCCATTAAATTTGGTCCTTAAGAGGTGGTCAGAGACCTTTTCAAGGGCATTACCGTAGGAGAGCTGAGGAGGTTGAAGGCAGATTACAGGGAGGGGAAGAGTTAGGGAGGCGAGGAAGTTGGATGATGAAGGGATGGCCAGAGATGGAGTGGTCGCAGAGAAAAAGGTTTTGTGGGGTAGGGGATGTGGAACATATTTGGAAGTTGAGGTCCAGGAAAGTAAATAGAGATGAGAGAAAGTATGCAATAACACTGCAAGAATGTTCAAACAATGTTGAAAATTGGTCGAGAATGTGGGTGGAAGAATTAGCCGTTTCATCCTGTGAGAGAAGAAATGAGATGGAAGTGGGTAAAGATAGCTGTTCTGAGGTTGACAGGGAGGAACTGAAGGTGCTCATGCTTGAAGGGCTGAGCGAAGTAGAAGAGGAAATAACCTGGGGAGGGAGACGGGAGGCTGGGCGGGGGGGGGCACTGACTGCAGAAGAGTAGTAGGGTTTAAAGGCAGCCGCCGAGGGGGAAGGAACACCCACAACCCAGCTCTGCCTTCCCTTAGAAATAGTGCTACATGCTACACTCCTCCTTTTAACAGCTTCTACAGGTCCTTCAGATAAGGCAAACCCACAAATGTTTATTTATCGTACCCCCAAATTCTCCCATGCTCTGCTGACCTTCTCTTCAAAGCACACCCTGGTGATGACTCCTCGTTTCTAATTGCCCCAGGGGAAGCTTGGGCTGGGCGCGGGTGGTCGTTAGCTCCCGCACACCTGCGGATCTTGTTGCTGCGCGCCTGAGCCCGCCCGCTAGCGCTGGCTTTAGAGAGGAGGGGCCGTGAGCTCTCCAGTACGGCGCCTGGAAGCAGCCGTGTTCCCCGGGCGCCCGGTCCTAACGTACCCGCTCATTAAGGTAATCACAAAGCAGTCTCCTCCATCTGCCCCAGCAACTTTTGCAGCATTTTGAGTCTTCCCTTTGCACACGTAGGACTGTGCTCCGGGCACTGTGAGGAGGGCACAGGAAAAGAGAACAGAAAGGTTGGCATTGTATGGAAACCATACACTAAGTCAGGGAAAATTGCCTCCTTATCATATTTCTCTCAATGCAGCCATAATTTCCTTTATGATTCTCTGAAGGGCTATCCTGAGGCTTAATTCAGCACTTAGGATATCCAGATTTGTTCCTAATACTGGCAGAAGGCTGCCTGTAACTTGAAACTCCCTAAGTTCAGAGAAAGGTCAGAGGCTGTTAGTTTGCTTGCTTCGAAAAGAGTCAGCATTTTTGAGGACACTTTGGTTCAGCTGCTGGAGTGGCTATAAAGGTCCTAGACCAGCTTCTCATGCAGATGAGTGACTGCTGGGTATGGGACTGATGTCTGCCTTTTGTGCAGAGAACACATCTCAGAGGATCAGCAGTTAAGAAAGTGTATCACTGAGGGTATAGAGAGAAAGACCTGTCTTAACAGATTTCATGGGGCAGCAATCTGTTCGATGACAGGATTTTTTTAGTCGAAACACCGGTAGAACTCTCAGTCTCTATCCGCAAGACTTTGGGATGAAAGAAGGTGTATCTGGTCCCTGCGTGGGCCATTAGCAAGTTCAAACAGTGCTTGGAATCCTAAGGGAGATGGAAAGGCCCTATAACCAGAGCGCTTGCTCCCCTTTTCCTAGGCCTTTTACTCCTCTCTCACACTGGTGGGTATTTCAGGGTTTGTGTATTTTCTTCCAACTTTAGGATGGAGGATGGTAAATGGGACTTAAAGGGTAATTATCACTGAAAACAGGACAGAGGATGTGTTTACCTGAGAGCTGAACACAATCAAGTTCTTTTTTTTCTTTTCTGTTTTTTAATATATCTTTATTGATTTCAGAGAGAAGAAGGGAGAGGGAGAGATAGAAACATCAATGATGAGAGAGTCGTCATTGACCGGCTGCCTCCTGCACGCCCCCCACTGGGGATTGAGCCCACTACCTGAGCATAAGCCCTGACCAGGAATCGAACCGTCATCTCCTGGATCTTAGGTTGATGCTCAACCACTGAGCCCTGGCCAGCCGGGCCCAATCAAGTTCTTTAATTAAAGGATGACTGTTACATGGGCTGGAACAAGAGACAGTGCTAGCCACACCAGATAGTCTGTCTTATAGCTTCAATCATAGCTGGTACAACAGAGCGCCTGCGAGCTATAGATCACATCATGAAAATGAATCTTCAACTTATAACTCTTCTTCATAAAATTAAAGGTTTCCTCCTACTCAACACAATGAGTTACTAATTCCAATCCTTCTGTACCAATGCCTGGGACAGGTATACTGACTCTGAGGACAGAATTTGTGAGGAGCCATGTGAGGGCATTGAGCACAGCTCAGGAGCACTGGGAATGGGGAGCATGCTGTCCTCCAGTTCTCAGAGCTCTTGGGGAAATGGTGATAGTATTGATGGTACTGTTTCTGTGAGTCTGACCGTTTTCTGTATACCCCTAGCAAGTATCTATCATGTGCTGCCCTAGAACTTGAAGGTCGTTCAATTGGAAAGGGGTGAAAACTCAATTGCTGTGCTGGGCCTGGCCATTTGCTAAAAACCTCAAACATACAATTTGTACAGGTCCCACACTTCTGCTTTACTGCCATATGCTGCCTTTGGGCTGCTCTGGCTGTCTGTGCTGCAATGGTGGTAATTGCAATTCCATCTGCCCTTTGGTATAGTGATGAGTCTTGGTGTTTATATCATCTGTGCCTTCTCTGTGCCCCCCTGCCCTCTCCAGACTGCCATCCTCTGTGCCAGCAATGTGCAGCTGATCTCCACAACACCGGGAGCATCTGCCTGAGGTGCCAGAACACCCGGTACCTGCTGCTGGGGGACCACTGTGTTCCTGATTGCCCTTCTGGATATTATGCAGAGAAAGGAGCTTGTAAAAGTGAGTTAAGTGCTGGACACAGGACCTGACAGTGTTTCATGAGCTTCTCTTTGGGGTAATAGCTGAGAAGGCTTGAAGAGAGAGAGAAAGAGAAAGAAAGGAGCACACTGTGGGACAATAAATCAGATCAGCTAATTCTCTCAGCATTGGGACCTTTATGAACACCTCTTGGGATGGTACTTTGGAAGGGAGTTTGGCTTCATAGGTTCTCTTTGTGTCTCTTTTCCCTCTGCAGAATGTCACTCCTCCTGTAGAACCTGCCAGGGCAGAGGACCCTTCTCCTGCTCCTCATGTGACACTAACCTCGTTCTGTCCCACCTTGGCACCTGCAGCACCACCTGCTTCCCAGGGCACTATCTCGATGATAACCATGCTTGTCAATGTAGGTTTTTAAAAATGAACTTTCTCTCCTTTCCTGCTCTTCTGTGGTCATCGATGGAAATACTAGGTTTTGCTTTCATATTCTTACCTGTAGCCTTTGTTTTTATAAAAGGAAGAAAATTAATCTAAAAAGGCATATGGATGCCATTAGCAGATTTAACTCAGCTTCCAGCCTAATTGGAAGTGCTGAGCTGGGGATCTCTGCCAGTACCAGTTGTGTGATCTTGGGCCAGTTATTTAATCTCTCTGTTCTCTAGTTATCTTATTTTAGAAGTAAAAGTATTAGTCTATTCCCTTTTATGGTTTCTCTCAGCATTTGAATTACAAGGCCCTGAGCAGAGCTCATTCTAGTACACAATCAGTAACCTAAACACTTCTCTGGATTCAATTTGTTTTCGACATGTATGTGTTGAATATTGACAATGTGTTAGGCTTGACATGTACAAAGCATTTAGTTTCTGCCCAAACAGCAGTTATTTTGTCTTGCATGAGAGTTACTTATATAGATGTCTTATTTTTCAAATAAGTCAAAATATGATTAATTACTTGAATCAGGCAAAACAAAGAGTTAGGATAAATTAGGGAAAGGGCAAATCTCAGGGAAAAAAAGTTAGGAATCCTTCACAGATGAAGGAACACTTTTGAAAATGGGCTGAGATGGCTTACTTTATTTCAATCACTGAACTGTCATTTGTAAAAGAAAAATTTGTTATACTTTCTCATTTTGAAAATGACAGTTAACAAATACAGTATTGATGTTTCAATTTTATATCCTAGGAAATACCATGTTGAAGGAATTATAGAATAGTGGTTAGGAGAGTGGGCTCTAGAGTCAGGAGTTCAAGTCCTATCTAACACTTAATAGCTTTGTGACCTTGAGCAAATAAATTAATCACTAAGTCTCAGTATTTTTTCGAGAAAAGGGGGATTATAATAGTACCTACATCTAATGTTATTGCACTTAGCACAGACCCTAGCAGAAAATAGCCTTTCAGTATAGCTATTGTTGGTATTGTTATTTATCATCAGCATCGGCTGAAATAAGAGGAAAATCAAGCTGTAAAAGATATGTCTGTTTTATAAATAGAAAGATGGGTATTGCTGTCAGTTTATTGAGATACTGGCAAGGGTTTTCATTTGAAATGAAGTTATATGGAACTCATAATTTTGCATCACTTGTTTAGATGCCAGACATAAAAAACCCTTTTTGAACAGATGAAAGATTTCTTTATGTTTATAATAAAAAATTTTCTTGGAAACATACCTCAAATGAAAGAACAGGAGAAATCTCCGAAAAGAGCTAAATTAAATGGAGGCAAGCAATTTACCAGATATAGAGTTCAAAAGAATGGTTATAATGATGCTCAAGAAACTTAGTGAGAGCAATAAGAAACTTAGTGAGAACTGCAAAGAACTTAGAACTATAACAACATGAAAAAGGGCATAGAAACCATAAAAGAGAACCAGTCAGAAATAAAGAATATAATATGTGAAATGAAGAATACACTAGAAGGAATAAACAGTACATTGGATAAAGCAGAGGATCGAATCAGCAATTTGGGAGGAAAGGTAAAAAACAACGCCGCCTAATCAGAGCAGCAAAAACAAAAACAAATTTTAAAAAGTGAGGATAGTTTAAGAGAAATTTGGAACAACATGAAGCATAACAACATTCATGTCATAAGGGTAGCAGGAGGAAAGAGAGCAAAGGATTGAGAACCTTTTTGAAGAAATAATGACTGAAAACTTCCCTAATCTGGTGAAGGAAAAAGACACACAAGTCCAGGAAGTGCAGAGAGTCCCAAACCAGATGAACCCAAAGAGGTCTACACCAAGACACATCATAATTAAAATGGCTAGGTTAAAGGCAAAGAGAGAATCTTAAAAGCAGCAAGAGAAAAACAATTATCTACAAATGAGCTCCCTTAAGACTGTCAACTGATTTCTCAACAGAAACATTTTAGGCCAGAAGGGAGTGGCATGAAATATTCAAAGTGATGAAAAGCAAGGACCTACAACCAAGACTACTTTACCCCAAAAGGGTATCATTTAAAATTGAAGGAGAAATAAAGCACTTTCCAGACAAGAAAAAGCTAAAGGAGTTTGTTACTTCCAAACCAGTATTACAAGAAATGTTAAAGGGCCTGCTTAAAGAAGAAGAAGGAAAAAGAAAACAGAGGAACAGAGTTAAAAGAATAAAGTAACAATAAATATGTACCTATCAATAATCATTTTAAATGTAAATGGCTAAAATGCTCCTATCAAAAGACATAGGGTAGCTGAATGGGTAAGAAAACAAGACCCATATATATGCTGTCTACAAGAGACCCACCTCAGAATGAAGGATACACAGACTAAAAGTAAAGGGATGGAAAAAGATATTTCATGCAAATGGGGGGGGGGGAGCTGGAATAGCAATACTTATATCTGAAAAAAGGCTATAGTAAGAGACAAAGAAGAACCCTACATAATGGTAAAGGGATCAATCCAACAAGAAGATATAACCCTTGTAAACATTTACACACCCAATATAGGAGAACCTAAATATATAAAGCAAATCTTGATGGACATAAAGTGAAAGATTGACAGTAATACAGTCATAGTAGGGGTCTTTAACACCCCATTGACATCAATGGATAAGTTTTCCAGACAGAAAATCAACGAAACAGTGACCTTAAATGACATACCAGACAGAATGACTTCATCAATATCTTCAGAACACTTCACCCTAAAACAGAAGAATACATACTATTTTCAAGTACACATGGATCATTTTCTCGGATAGACCACATGTTAGGACACAAAACAAGTCTCAATAAAAACGATTGAAATCATTTCAAGCATCTTCTCTGACCATAATGCTATGAAACTAGGAATCAATCACAAGAAAAAAACTGAAAAGCATACAAAGACATGGAGGCAAAATAACATGTTACTAAACAATGAATGGGTTAACAGGTCAACGAAGGAATCAAAAGATACCTTGAAACAACTGCAAAAGAGAACACAACAAAGCAATTTCTATCAAGGTACCAATGGTGTATTTCACAAAACTAGAACAAATAATTCCAAAAATTTATATGGAACTCCTAAAAAACTCAACAGCAATCTTGAGAAAGAGGAACAAAGTTGTAGGAATCACACCACCTGATATCAAACTCTACTACAAAGCCATAGTAATCAAAACAGCGTAGTGTTGGCATAAAAACAGACATACATAGATCAATGGAACAGAATAGAAAGCCTAGAAATAAACCTGTGCCATTATGGTCAATTAATATTTGACAAAGGAGGAAGAACATACAATGGGGTAAAGATAGTCTATTCAATAAATGGTGCTGGGAAAATTGGACAGATACAGGCAAAAAAATGGAAACTAGACCACCTTCTTACACTATACACAAGAATGAATTTGAAATGGATTAAAGACTTCAGTGTCAGACTCAAAGCCTTAAAAATCCTAGAAGAAAACACATACAGTAAAATTTCGGACATTTCTTGTAGCAATATTTTTTCTGGTATATCTTTTCCGGCAAGGGAAACAAAAGAAAAAATAAACAAATGGGACTACATCAGACTAAAAAAGTGTTTTTTGCCATGGCTAGGTAGCTCAGTTGGTTAGAGCATCATCCCCATATTGCAAGGTTGCTGGTTTGATCCCCAATCAGGGGGGCACATATAAGAATCAGCCAATGATGCATAAATAGGTGGAACAAGAAACTGGATGTTTCTCTCTCTCTCTGTCTCCCCCCCCTTCTCTCTCCCTAAAATCAATCAATAAAAATAATTTACAAAAAAGTTATAAAAATAAAAAGTTTTTGCACAGCAAAGGAAACCATCAACAAAATGAAAAGACAAACCACTGAATGGGAGGACATATTCACTAATGATACATCTGATAAGGGGTTAACATCCAACATTTATAAAGAACTTATAAAACTCAACACCAATAAAAACAATCCAATTAAAAAATGGGCAAAGTACCTGATTAGACACTTATCCGAAGAGAATATACAGATGGCCAGTAGACATATGAAAAGATGCTCAACATCACTAATCATCAGAGAAATCCAGGTTCAAACCACAATGAGATATAACCTCACTTCTGTCAGAATGGCTCCATCAATATCAACAAACAAGTGTTGGCCAGGATGTGGAGAAAAGGGAGCCCTCGTGCACTGCTGATGGGAATGCAGACTGGGGCAGCCACTGTGGGAAGCAGCATGGAGTTCCCTCAAAAAATTAAAAGTGGAGCTGCCTTATGACCCAGTGTTTCCACTTCTGGGAATATATCCTAAGAAACCCAAAACACTAATTCAAAAGAATATCTATACCCCTATGTTCATTGCATGTTATTTATAATAGCCAAAATTTGGAAGCAGCCCAAGTGCCCATCAGTAGATGAGTGGGTAAAAAGCTGTGCTACCCTTTGGGATACCATGGATGGACCTGGAAAGTGTTATGCTAAGTGAAATAAGCCAGTCAGAGAAAGACAAATACCATATGATCTCACTTATATGTGGACTCTGATGAACAAAATAAACAAACGAAATGGAAACAGACTTATAGATACAGAGAACAGACTGACAGCTGTTAGAGGGGTTGGGTGAAAAAGGTGAAAGGATTAAGCAAAGCAACAACAGCAAAAAACAAAAAACCCCTCATAGACAACAGTATAGTGATTACCAAAGGGAAAGGGAGATGTGGGGATGTAGAAGAGCATAAAGGGGGAATAAGTAGTGACGGAAGACTTGAATTTGGGTGGTGAACACACAATACAATATGCAGATGATACTATAGAATTGGACACCTGAAACCTATATAATGTTATTAACCAATGTCACTCCAATAAATTCAATTTAAAAGTAAATAAAAGCAAGAAAAATTTGCTTGGTGCATATTAACTGCTGCCAGAATCTGTAGATTCTGTAACACAGGAGACACAAATGAAGTACTTGCGTGTTCTTTGCAAGAGCAAGAGGGTATTGGTGGAGAAACTGTGACTTAGATTTATCAGGCTCCTCACAGCAGTGGAATCACAGAAACAAAGTTCAAAAGAAAAATAGAATACTTTATGTAGAATATAGGTGAGAAAAATAGGTTGCATTGAAATATTTTCTGGGAAGTTTTTGCCTTTGTACAGGGTAATCACTACACAAATACATTCGCTATGATAACATGTAAATGGGATTTGATGGACTATTTTCATTAAATTAAGAATCTTAACTTATTTGCCCAAGCTTAAGTCTCATTCTTCCTGAGACTGAATAAAGCACAGCCCTAAGTTGGAATATCTAAGTTTTTAGTATGTAAAAAAAATCAACAATGTTCCTTCATAATGCTCATCATTATAGACAGTTCTAGGCCCAACAATTTTAGGAAGGGAGCAGTAAGTGGCTTTAAAGGAAATATAGTCAGTATTAAGGGGAGACGTTAATAACCATATTATAGAAGAAAGTAAGAGCTGGAGAGCTAGCTAGATTCTGGTTAAGGAAACCCTTAGAAATGATGTACTGAGCTCTAAAATTTAGGAATGACCAGCAGAGACAGGAACTTTTTAAGAAAAGAGATGATAAATGAGGTTGTCAATACTTGAAATCGTAATGCTGTAGAGTAAGAGGAGGACTCCAGGGCTGCCCGAGCCCACCTTGCTCCCAGTGCAGATTCTTTCCCACTCCCTTCTCTGACATCTACAGTGAGGACGGGAGCTGCGTCCATTGGG